ACTCCTTTATAGTTTTAAATCAAGTTGCCACTTTTCCATTTCTACATTTACAATTTTATGATTTTGTTATCAAAAGATATAACTCCTCACTTCCAATCTCCCAGTCTTATGTGGTCTGAGCATTTCAGAAATACTATCAACTCTGTGGCCCTGGCACCTAAAGCTTCCCCCTTTTCAACACTCAGAAGTAATTGCGTCCTTAAGAAGAATAAGACTCCTGTAGCTTTTGAACCCTGAAAGCTACAGACTGAGCTGAAAATATAGCCTGTGTCCCAATCTGACCTTCAGGTTTCTAGTACACTCTGAGGATAATTAGTCTCAGCACACACTTGGCGGAAATATTAAAATATCACAGGAAACAGTGGGATGAAAGTTATCTGACTGGTTCATGACGAGATCACATCCATGAGTAAGAATTCAGTAGGTGGAGTAATAAAACGTTTGCATCGGTGATTGTTTGAGAAGCCGGTGAAGCCTACAGCTGCCGAAGTGTGGGTAGAGTGTGAAAAGCACCCCTTTCGCGGCCAGCCCGGGAGGCTCTGGTACATGTTGGTGCATCTGTGTGAGTTTGTCTGTCTCTACATATTTTCAGATCATTTTAAATGCCAAAGTACGTTTCAACAGGATCAGACTATACATAGAACTTGACATCGTTTGTTCATCCTATTGCCTCCTATTCTCATAGTCTTGCTAAATTTTCAGAAATTTAAAATAGAACATACCTTCATCCTTTGTAGTGGGTTCGTGATGGATTACAGCTAATCCAAGTTTATTTAACCACCTAAAATTCAAATAGAAAGTAAATGTTTGCCCAAAGTGATTGCTCCCCTACCCATCTACCTTCCCCCTAGACCCTGGAGGAGTGTCTTATGACAGACTTTGAAATGACATTAACTCATTAATTCTTCCGAAATGTTTGCCCAAAGTGATTGCTCCCCTACCCATCTACCTTCCCCCTAGACCCTGGAGGAGGGTCTTATGACAGACTTTGAAATGACATTAACTCATTAATTCTTCCGTCAGCGTGAACATTTCCAGAAATAGCACAAATCTGTAGCATCAAAACCTAAGGCCTCTGGTTTCACAATATTTTCCTTACTCAGTGTATCCCTTGTAAGATAAGAAGTGAGATGGCCCATTACCCACTTGGCTACTGAGAGCAGCTAAATTAGATATTATAATACATAACATAATATCTAAAGTAGATATTATAAATATATATTATATGTGTTATATAATATAACAAATATATCTTCTTCTGTAATTGCACAATTGCAATTTTAACAACTGTCAAAGCCCTTATCACTTAATTTAGTAACCTAGCCATTAACGTTATATATTTATAATTCTTAAAAATCTCAGTTTATTTCAGAAAAAAAAGTGCAAGACCACCCATTTTTAAACCAGGAACATTTTTTATGTCAATCCGGAAAAGATCTGGCTAGAACTTTACAGATAATCCTAAACTAGAGAAAATTTTAATTCCTTGAGGAATTTCATGAAAGGCAAAAATTGACAATGTCCTACCTTCCATTGATTTACCATTTTATTGACAATAAATTCCACTTAAACATCAATAACAAAAATAGAACTAGACAAACCTTAAGGAACTCAAACTTGGCTTATGACTTCTGGACACTGTAGTTACTTCTCAACAGTTTTGAAAGAAACATATTTAAACACAAATTTTTAAAAGATAAGGCACAAAATGTGTCTATTTTATATGTTTCTAACTATATAATCTTATAGGGAAAATATTGTTTTGAGGTGGTAAAAATCAAGGTGATTTGTTTGCCAGTTCTCTCTGGATTTTTGTATATTTTTTTGACTTTTTAAAAATGTTATTGAAATATAATTGATTATACATATTTTGAGGGTACAACATTGACCACCATCACCAGTGTACAACATATGTTGATCAAATCAATATTATTAGCATATTCATTATAAATCATAATTATTCTTATGCCCCTTACTCAATCTTTCCTCATCCCCTCTCCCTCCCCCTCTTCCAGTACTCCATATTTTGGGTTTTTTTGTTTTTTGGGTTTTTTTGTTTTTTTGAGAAACCAGAGCATTCAATAGTGGCCTAATTCAACCAATGCTGACAAAATAACAATAATAATTCTACACATTGATGATTCATTTACACTTTTGAATTATTCTAGTCCTGTAATACCTCACTATTTAGCATACTACATTCACACCATGATGCAAATATTGCACATTCCCAAGTCGACAATTGCCAGCTAATTAGGAATCCTTACCCAACCATCAATAGGTGCTGGTCTTGCTGTATTCATTATTTTTTAATAGGAAATATATAAAAAATTTGATTTTAAAAAATAAACAAAACAGGAGCTTCTACAAGAAGGAAGATGAACTCCAGTTTCCTTAGCACAACAATAAACACAAGTTCTCTAAAGGCCACTCAAAACTTGACCAATACCAGTGCCCAGATCATGCCGTAGAACCCCAAAATATATATCAAGTCCCAATAGAATAACAGGCAAAATAAAAGAACAGAAAATCACAGAAAAAATACAAATGACTAATCAATATATGCAAAAAAATTCTCAGCCTCAATACTATTTTGGAAATGTATATTCAAATACAGGAAAATATTTGTCACCACTGGTTTGGAAAAAATTCAAAATATTGTCGATTTTTAGTTTTTAAGAATAAATAGAAAAATAAGCATTCTCATCCTTTGTTGAGTTGAATATGAAAATTGATACAGCCAACTTTGAGCAGGTTATTTGACATTATTCAAAATTTAAGTATCCATTCCCTTTGCCCAACAATCCCAGTCATATTTATATATCCTACAAAAATACACCTTAACGTAAACAAATAAACGTGGAAGAGTGTAAACTGCTAACAAGGGTTGTAATGGCAAAAAGAAAAAAGATCAAGACAATATAATTGTCTACTCATAGGACATTGGATTAATAAACTATGACAATGATTCTATTGATACTACGTTATCATGAAGCTAATAAAAAAGACTAAGATGGGGGAGGACGGCTTGTAATGACCTGGAAAAATTCTAACATAATGTTAATTAAAAAGAGCAACTATAGAACAGTATGTTTAGCCTGATCAAATGTACTTTATATACTTATATGTGCAGAATTGGTATGCATAGAAGTGTCAGGTAGGATGTATACCATACTACTAAAAATAGCTAACCCTATGGAGAGAAGTTAAATTGGAAGGTGAGGGTGGGGGTGTGGGAAGTATTTCACTTTTTCTACTTCTGTAAAAAAAGACAATCAAATAAATTACTCAACTAAAAGAAACATTTAAAATTACATTTCAAAAATTGATCAGATAAAACACAATGAATTTAAGGTTTATTTTTTTAAATACTGTAATAATTTTTAGCTTACACCTGATTTCATAATTGTAGGAGCTGACCTTCTCCCCAAAAAAGCATCTAAAAGTGAAATAGGCAAAAAAAAAAAAAAAAAAAAAAAAA